CATGCCCGCTTGAATAAGCCTAGCCCTCAACTCCAAGATTCCCCCAGGCAGCGAACGCTGGCTGGGGAATTCTGGGAGTTGAAGTCCAGACATCTTCAAGTGGCCAAGGTTGAAAAACACTGTTCTAGATGATGTAATTATATAAAGTGATATATGATTTTGCTTCTTATAGATCCTCCATTATATCATTAAAAATTTAAATAAAGAGGAGGGGGGAGATTCCTCCACTGAACAATGGGATAGACTAGAATAATGGTCACCAACTGGAGAAGATTTTGGTGGTCTGCAGAAAATTTTTATGTATTTTTTATATTGCACTAAATTAGGGGTCCTCAAACTACGGCCCCTGGGCTGGATATGTGTTGGTGCAGAGAGTCTCCCCTTTTGGGGTGTTTTTTGTGTGGGTCGGAGGAGGGCAGAAATTCTGACTTGGGGTCTGCTTCAGCCTCCTGGTGGGGGGCTTTGGGCGAAGGCTGGAGGGAAGCATCGCTGGTGGCAAAGAGCCGGAGGGCCTCATTCCAGTGGGACTGCATCATGGCCTGGAACTGGCTGACCATCTCATCCCGCTGAGCCTCCAGGCGCCGGTCCCTGGCCTTGCACTCCCGTAGGTCTTCCCTCTGCTTGGAAAGCCTATGCTCCTAGTCCTCAGTGAGTTGCTTCTGCGGAGCCTTCTTCTGGGTCAGATCCGATTTGAACTCAGCTGTTTTGTCAACTCTTTCTTGTTGGGGCCCTAAGAAGCCCAGGTGGGCAGGTCAGGAATGGTTGGGAGGGGAGGGGTGAGTAGAGGCTAGCGAGGCACCCCACGACATGAGTGACATCGAGTTGGCCACGCCTACCCAGTCACATGACCACCTAGCCACGCCCAGCCAGCCAGTCATTAGGCAGATCATATTAGTGGTCTGCAGGAATTAAACTTATGCATTTAGTGGTCCCTGAGGTCCGAAAGGTTGGGGACCCCTGGACTAGATGACCTCAAGATCCCATTCCAACTTTCTAATGCTTTCGTTCTAAACGGGGAGGACCTTCTCTCTCTTTTCCTACAGCAGTGGCTCCTTCCACCTGATGTCCCAATTTCTCATGTCACCATCTTCGCTTCTCTTGGAGTCCCTTTTTTAACTCCCGATTGCTTCTTTAGGGAACCTCAGGGCACCATTCGGCATTATGTGGTGTGCTCGACGCCCCAGAACAAATATTTCCTGGCCGAGAAGCACCACTTCAACACTATCCCGGAGCTCATCAACTATCACCAACACAACTCTGCAGGTGAGGACGAGCAGCTGTTGGTTAAAGGTGTCCACAATTGACCGCTTAGCTGGTGGAGTTGAATCTGGGAATATGTATCCTTCCTCCCTGATTTAAATTTCCCACAAGGCTCCAGAAGCAAGCTATAGTTGTCTGTCACATCTATTCATCTCTAGCCCCTGCCTTTTATCCCCAGTCAGAGCTAGGGTGGGCTTTCACTAGCAGCGGTGGCTCTTCCTTTCCCAGGACCAGCCCATAGATTTCCACTGCTCTCCTCTCCTCTGCCTTCTGCGCTTCTGCGCTTCAGGCACTGGACCCAGCTGCTCCTCATCAGCTATCTCCAGACCTGGAGGCTGTTGACTCTCCATCTGAGGGCTGATGGACGGCTCCGCCTCTGTCTGACTCTCTGCCAGCTCCATTCCCTCTTCCCACTCAGAGCTCTCAAGGTGCCTTGATGTTGAAATTGACTCCCCCCCCTTCCTCCTCCTCCTCCTCCTCCTCCTCCTCCTCCTCTGATTCAGCTGCTGGAGAGGCCACAACAGGAGCATTGTGGGTAAATTATGCCAGCAATCTCCTTGGAGGACCAGAAGATGTGCCAGCTTGGACCCCGGACCTTAGCAGTAGCAATAGCAATAGCAATAGCAGTAGACTTATATACCGCTTCATAGGCCTTTCAGGCCTCTCTAAGCGGTTTACAGAGAGTCAGCATANCAGCCAGCTTTGCTGGCTGAGGAACTCTGGGAGTTGAAGTCCACAAGTCTTAAAGCTGCCAAGGTTGGAGACCACTGCTGTAAAGGATATATTAAGGGACGTGGTGGCTCAGTGGCTAAGATGCTCAGCTTGTCAATCAGAAAGGTCGGCACTTCGGCAGTTCGAATCCCTAGCACTGCCTAATGGAGTGAGCTCCCATTACTTGTCCCAGCTTCTGCCAACCTAGCAGTTCGAAAGCACATAAAAATGCAAGTAGAAAATTAGGAACCACCTTTGGTTGGAAGGTAACAGCATTCCGTGCGCCTTTGACGTTGAGTCATGCCAGTCACATGACCATGGAGACGTCTTCGGACAGCGCTGGCTCTTCGGCTTTGAAACGGAGATGAGCACCGCCCCCTAGTGTCAGGAACAACTAGCACATATGTGCAAGGGGAACTTTACTTTTACTTAAAGGGTAAAACAGACATACTGTATACCACTTTATACTAGGCCAGTGTTTCTCAACATTAGCAACGGGTGAATTTCAACTCCCAGAATTCCCCAGTCAGCATTCGGGAGTTAAAGTCCACCTATCTTAAAGTTGCCAAGGGTGAGAAACACTGGGCAAGGCCTGATCTCTTTACAATTCTTACATCCAGGTGTTCAAAGCTTATTATGGCCTGCTAAGCTTGGGCTCCAATGTCCTGCGCATTTCTTTGTACATAAAGTAAAAAAACTAAACTGTACCATATCCTCCAAATTTCGTAAGAGGAATGTGAAAATTATTCAGGTCAAAATAATGTTTAAAAGCCCTGTCTTTTTTTTTTTAAGCACATTTTCAAGGCGTGCTGAAAAATGGCAGCCAAAACTGTTGTTTGTTCAAGGCGGTGAAATGCTAGTGTGATTAGTCCCAGGCAGTCGCTTTGATTTGATCCCGGTGACACAGCAAACCAGAAAGACCAGACTGACAAGGAAATACAAGGAAATCATCTCACTTTGTGAATGGTACCCAATAAACAACCCTCACTTAAGATCAATGAATGGATAACCCAGGAAGAAGGACTCGGAATGTTTCCTTCAGTTTTCTATTTTTTTTCTCCTTTTGAGACAAAAGCAAATCAGAAGAGCTTTTTTAAAAAACCCAAATGTCACTGACATTCAAGGTTTTCATAAACACTGATTAAAATTAAGATCTTGATTCTTTACACAATTTGATAGCCGTGATAATATAACTAAAATATCACATTGCTTTATGGGGACAGGTTCTCTGGGAAGAAACTGATGATATTTAAAATAGAAGAACATCTTTGCTACACAGCAAGTTTATGGTACATGCAAACAATTACATCAGTTGCACCTCGTAAAAAATGTGACTAGCCACTTAATCTTTGGCTCAAAATAAAGCAACTTCATTCTTTCAAAATATATTTTCCCAGGACACACTTAGCTGCAGTGAATGGTTTCTTAGGAGCTGAGAGGCCCTATATTGTTAGAAGTCTCCCTTCCCCTTGTTAAAAGTTCTCTGGAATGGACCAAGCTACGGGTCCAACTTCCCATACAGAGATTTGGAACATCTGTTATAAGCATCTTAACAACAAAGTGATCTGGCAAGGCAAGATTATAGTCATCTGCTCCAAAATAAAGGCCAAATCCCAACACAAATGCAGAGTCCTCTATTTAAAAGTTTGTTTAGTGACCGCTCGAAGGTACAATGGCTCTCAAAAAAAGTGACTTATGATCATTTTTCACACTTATGACTGTTGCAGCATCTCCATGCTCACGTGATCAAAATTCAGGTGCTTGGTAACCGACCCATGACAGCTGCAGTGTCCTGGGGTCACGTGATCCCCTTTTGCGACCTTCTGACAAGCAAAATCAATGGGGAAGTCAGTTTCACTTAACAACCATATTACTAACTTAACAGCGGCAGTGATTCACTTTAAAATGTGGCAAGAAAATAGGGCAAAACTCACTTAACAAATCCCTCCTCTTTTCAACTGGAATTTTGGGCTCAGCTGTGGCCATAAGGTGAATTGGGACCATGATTACTGCCATAACCCCATGCTTTACTTAGAGGTCATGAACCGACAAGGTAATCTGATGACCCGTGGGGTATGTAATTTGAAATAATCCAAGATCGAAAGCCTCAAGAGTAACAACATCGGTCTTCAAGTTACATCCAAAACCTTGTAAAGGGCTATCGCAGGCTGTTCACCACAAGCAGTTCCGCTTGTACTTAGAGCTGACTTCCTCATAAAGGCATATGCAAACAGTGTCTCTTGAGGTAGTGCTCCTTGTAACTACTAGAGTATCTACACCACCTTTGTGAACTTGGTGGGGTTAGAACACAGTTTGATGAAGGGGAAAGGGGAAATTTAGCCTCTGTCATCTCTTCCAATTGCATGATGTTTAATATCACATTATTAGCAATATTAAAGCTAAGAGAAAATGGACAAAGTGATTTTAAATGCAGCAATGAAAGCTGGGGCATTCAAAATACACTGGGTAATAGTCCATATTTAGAAAGAGAATTTTTTGTCAATGTGGTATTTAACAGAAAAGGGATCTTTGATTACATTTAAAGGAGATGAATGTGTACTATTCAGAATGAGTCAGAAGCATATGAAAATAAACATCTGTATTGATGATATACAATAAAAGAAAATGCAGACTTCTCTAAAAATAACAAAGGGATGAAATCATTCATATTTGTACGTATTTGGTACGACTGAGGAACAGGCACTCAGAAGGAATTGTGCAATAACAAATACAAGACTTAATGAAGGATCTGTTTAAATTGGAGCAGGTTATAAATACTTTAAACATAAATAAATAAAATTTCAAGATGATCACAACACGGTCAAAAATGATGAAATGTGAATTTGGTTAAGTTAGCCAAAGCAAGATACACACAACATTATCCAAATGCGAAAACACTTTTCTTTTCAATGTAACTTTTACTCTAAAAAATTAAACAAAAAGGTAAAAGGTTACATGAACGAATATTATAGACAGTAAGGAGGAAAAGTGAAAAGAATGTGAATCAATTTACATCAAATTACTCTTTTTTCTATAATCTCCTAGCTGATAACCCATGTTATCCCGGTATTTATTTATCCCAATCCTGAATTAAACAGGAAAAGCCCTGATTTCAGCCACAATTAAATTTAGTTACAAATGTTTTCCCTATGCCCCCAGAAGCATCAAGGAAAGTGGGAGCCCCCTTGTGGAGTACTGTGAAGCTGTTACCATGGCAGTTCCACTGCGCTGTACAGTAGAAGCCATTTGGAGGCACAACAAGCTGTATCTTAACAGAAGACACACCCCGGGGGGATTAGGGTGTGTGTTCCGTATTTGTTTCCAGAGAGTAAGTCATCTGTGAACCAAGTTTGGTTGAGATTGCTTAAGGCGTTCCAGAGTTATGCTGGAAAACACACAAACACACACACACATCCTGTTTAATAATGAAAACCATATGTCACAACTTCATTTTTTTCATTTTCACGCAAAACATCCAGAAGAGGCTTCTAGTCAGTAATGAATATAACATCTTTTCTAGAATCAAAGAATTTAAATTATCCATGTTAGCAAAATTGGTCAACTTCAACTTCACCAACCCTTCTTCCATAGTATGCAGTGTTAAATCTTTCCATCTCTATAAATACATTTTATAAATTTAGCTTTTTATTTAGATTTAAATAATCCTCCATGGCTTTTTCTCTCTCTAGCTGTTTATCCATTAATCATGAAGAAAAAGTTCTGGCTTCAATCGAATATTGATCTTTAAAATTGAATTCAGATAAACCTTTCCAGAATATTGTCTGTGGAGGTTTTCAGTCATCCAGGTCATGGTTGTCTCAAAGGTGCTTTTTCAAAAAGCAACTGGACTTCCTTTGTTTTTCCTTAAAGACATTTTGCTTCTCATCCAAGAAGCTTCTCCAGTTCTTTCCATTCATTGTGCCAGTTTCCTCATTTAAATCCTTCTCTTAAGCAGCCCAAGAAACTGTTCATTCTCCGTTATTATTTAGAACTTTTTATTTCTTTCTGAGCTGTGTTTATAGGAAATCTGTTATACACTGTTTCCACCCTAATCACTAATATTTTGTTTGGATATATCCCTTTGGGGGCTTGAAAGAACATCAGAAACAATAACACATGCATGCAAAATGTATCTGTATTTTAGATTCAGATTTATGGGCTGGTACAAATCATTTTGAGATATATCTGGGGACAATGAGAAATCAAATCTTACAACTTTGCAGATTTTTCTGAACTTCAATTCCCAAGAGCTGAAACAGCAAAAGAACACTGAGAGATGCTTGGTGCTAAAGGAAGTGTAAATCGTTTGGTTTCAAACCCCTTCCAGCAGGAAATATAACAAAACTC